CAAGAACCCCACTTCGGATGTGGGGAAAAATGCTAACACGGCTTCGAGCTCGCGCCGCCCTCGCGGGCGCGGGCCTCCGCGGGCGCACCCCTGCGGCGGCGCCCTCTGAGGCACACGCCCCGCGACGCTCACCACCTCCCCCCGTTGCTGGCCCACTTGGGGGCACTGCAACGGGTACCCCCTCTGCTGGCCCACTTGGGCGCGCAGCGGGGGAGGCGGCGAACATTAGAGAAAGTACCCTGGCGAAGGGCCCGACCATTTGTAATTGCAAGAAACACGCAGCAAATTGGACGAAATTCCCCAAAAAAAAAAGTTGTCTACGGGGCGATGAAAAGTTTGAGGGGCGTGCCAACATGGGTGCGGTGGGCGCATGCGAAAGCAGCCGCTTGGGCCTTCGGTGGGGATCCCTATAGGACCACGAGACGTGTGAGGGGCGTGCCGAAATTGGTATGGTGGGCGCATGCGAACGCAGCCACTGGGGCCTTCGGTGGGCCCCTGTGGGGCCACGAAACGTGTGAGGGGTGTGCCGAAATTGGCGCGGTGGGCGCATGCGAACGCAGCCACTGGGTGTGCCGAAATTGGCACGGTAGGCGCATGCGAACGCATGCGACAACAATCTTGGACGTCTGGAAGGCCTTGGGAGTCGTTTTCCCGCGCTGGAACGCGTTTGGAATCAGTCTGGGACCGGTGCTGCCGCCCAATCATATTCCTTCCTTCCTACCTATCTGTTCTTACACCAGGACATTCCCCTCGGGCCGCCGTCAATAAGGGGTGACCTTAATTTGAAGAAGTTTCTGTGGAACTCACGTCATCCTTACCCCCAGCGGGCGGGAGAGTCGCTTCCAAACGCACCTCCAGGATCCATTTCCGGCGCTGCGCCGGGCGCACCAGGCGCGCCGGGCGTGTCCCAACCCCGCGCCCTCGCTCGAGACATCCTTGCAAAATCGCCACCTGGGCCCCCAGCGCACCTCCAGGGACCATTTCCAGCGCTGCACTGGGCGCACTGGGCGCGCTGGGCGTGTCCCAACCCGGCGCCCTCGCTCGAGACATCCTCGCAAAATCGCCACTCGGGGCCCCCAGCGCACCCCCAGGGACCATTTCCAGCGCTGCACTGGGCGCACTGGGCGCGTCGGGCGTGTCCCAACCCGGCGCCCTCGCTCGAGACATCCCCGCAAAATCGCCACTCGGGCCCCCAAGGCACCCCCAGAACCATTTCTGGCGCTGCACGGGCGCACCAGGCGCGTCGGGCGTGTCCCAACCCAGCGCCCTCGCTCGAGACATCCTTGCAAAATCGCCACACGGGCCCGCAGCGCACCCCCAGGAACCCCCAGGTGATCCCCGCCCGCCCGATCCTCACCCTCCCTGATCTTCATTCTCCTCATCCTCGCTCTCCCGATCCTCACCCGCCGCAAGGGGTGCTTCAGGGCCTCTTTTGGCACCCAGGGGTGCCCGAAAGGGCTTTTTTAGGAGCGCTTTCGGGTATTTTTCTTCACCCCCGATGGAAATCACCACTCATTAACGGCCGCCCGATCCCCCACCCTCCCGATAGATTCCTGGGGGTTCCAGGGACTGCTTGGGGCCCCCTTGGTCCCACCGGGCTTCTTTCTGAGGCGCCGTTTGGTCCTGCTGGACCTCCTATTGCGCTTCCACAAACACCTCAATGGCTTCGAGGAGTTCCCGCAACGATTCCAGAGCGCTCCAAGACGGCCCTGACACAGCGCAAGCTGCCCCCAAGAGAGCCCAAGAGGGCTTCACGAGGTCCCCGAGGAGGCCACTGGCAGACCAAAATTCATCGAAAACATTGTTTGCCTTCTCGTCTTTTGGCCTCCGACGGCTTTTACACAGTCTTAAAACTGTTTCGCGGGGCCCCGAAAGCGCCTAAAGACGCCCCAAGAGGCTCACAAGAGGGTCCCAAGACGGCCTAAGCGGGCCCCAAGACGGGCCAAGAGACGCCCAACAGGGCCCAAGAACACCCCGAGACAGCCCTAAGAGGAGCCCAAGAGGGGAGCCACGAACCGAAAATTCAAGTTTTCCGCCAGGGGCCCCACAGGCCCCAAGACGGCCAGAGGGGGCCCAAAAGGGTCCCAACGTGTCCCCAAAACGCTCCCAAGGGCCCAAAAAGAGGCCCAAGAGGCCCCCAAAAGGCCACGCCACGAAGAGGTTTCAAGACACATCCTGAGCCTCCTTGGACGCCCCTGCAGACGACGTCGGGGCCAGGCTGGTACATTTCCTTGGGGATACCTGCGTTTCCAGCAATCGCGCGATCGGGCTCTCCCCTGCGTCCACGGCTACCTACGAGGCGCTCCAGGCATCCACAGGACGCCCACGGCATTCCTAACGCAGCCCCAGACGACTTCGAAAGGCCTCCGCGGAGGAGGCCCGACGCGCTCCACGAGGGGCCCTGAGGCCGTCCAAACCATGCACCCGAGGAACGTCCCAGACGCTCGATTTTGACCTCCAGAATGTTCCCGAGACACCTCTGGGGCCTGCCCCGGAAACGACGTCGGGGGGCTCACGCCCGGGAATTCCCAACGGAAAACATTGGTTGGCAGCACCGTCACGTGGGGGTCTCACCACTGCGTCCACGGCGGAACATGCGGCGCTCCACGGAGCCTCCCGCCGGCACGCAAACCACCCAAGACAGCCCAAGACGACCTCAAGAAGTCTCCCCTAGCAGCTCCAACGGCTAGCCTATGAAGCTCAAAAGGTTCCCCAGACATCCTCGCGGGCGCCAAGGCCGAGAGGAGGCCCAAGGAGTGGCACAACGACTTACAGGCCGTCTGGGGGGTCGAAGACCTGCCCGAATCGGCCCATGAGAACCCAAAAGCGGCCCAAAAGCGCCTTCCTAAGGGAATGGCCTCCAAAGGTGGTTAAAGCCAAAGCTTTTCCGCTGCCAAACAAAGGGCCGACCCAAACAGATCATCAAATTACCACCATCACAGCCGCGTCGAAAGGCGCGGCGTGCGTCGCTGTCTCGATCGAGCCGTTTACTCGTCAAGCCTTCCGCGTCTCCCCTCCCCGCCCGCAAGACTTGAAAGCGGAGCGCAGCCAGCTTCAAGTCTTGTGTATGTATATATATATATATATGTATGTATATATATATGTATATCGAAACTAGAACCACGCGCGCGCTTCGCGCGCGCTCAGGTTCCAGCGAGCCCCATTGTAGTCTAAAGTGTTCGGCATCGGGTGACATTGATTGTCACAAGAATCATGCACCTCAGGGGGCTCCACCTGCGGCCCATCAGACAGGCTTGGGCCCCCAAGCCCATGCCGGCACACCCTTCACAGGGATCGCGTCCCACAGGGAGACCAACGTGATTCCATCCCTAGAGACGAGGTTCGCAGTGGCACGTCCCTCAGGAGGACCGTACCCCGCAACTAAATGCATCTGCGGCACCAGAGGGGAATTTCATAACATCGGCCAGCTCAATTCGGCGTGCCTCTCATACGGATCGTGGCCCGCAATGACATCCACGGCCGGCCCCAAAGACAAAGTTCGCATCCCGCCGTCCCGCCTACTTCGGCACACCTCGCACACGGATCGTGATCGTGGCCCACAGGGATCTCCACCCACGGCCCCCGAAGCAAGGTTCGCACTGCGCCCCCCCCAGCCATGGCGGTACACCCCGTCACGTGGATCATGCCCACAAGGAGCACCACCGAATTAAAGGCCCCGAAGGTTCGAACAGCGCCCCCCCCCGCCCATGTCGGCACACCTGTCACGCGAATCATGCTCCAGAACGGGCATCTTTGCATGGCGCCCCCGCGCCCATTTCGGAACATGTTTGGCACGGGGCGTGCCCGGAGGAGGTCCACATGCGGCCTCAGCGGGCGTGTTCGCGCGACACTTCACGCGGATCGTGCCCCACAAAGAGTTCAGCGCACCCGTGCACGCGTGCCCCGCGGCAGCCATCTTTCCGCATTGCCCCGGCCTCATTGGCTGTCTCACAGCGTTCCTGGCCCGTCGGACGCTGCAGGAAGTCGTTTTTGAGGCCTGTCTTCGCCGTCTTCGAGCCCGCTTGGAGCGCTCCGTGGCTGTCTTGGAGGCAATCTCAGGCGTGTTGAGTCCTCTTGAGCCGTCTTGGGGCCCTCCTGGGGCCATTTTTGGTGCTTCTTGGGCCGTCACGGGGCTATCGTGGAGGCCTCTTGGGTGCTCTGGGAGCGATCTTGGGGGCCTCGTGTGCCATCTGGACCGTCAGCAGGCCGAAACAAAACAAATGCAAAAATATTCAAAAACCAACGGGAAATCGATTCATTTAGCTTTTTCGGGATTTCCCAACGGATGTCTTGGAGGCGTCTTGGCCCCCTCGGAGGCTATTTGGACTTATCTTGACCCAATATTGGGCCGTGTAGGGTACCTCTTGGAGCCTTCGAGGGCTCTCTTGAGGCCATCTTAGCGTTCTTGCAGGCATTTCTGCAGCCATCATGGGTCATCTTGGCCGTCTTGGAGGCCATCGAGGCCGTTTTGGACCAGGAACGGGTGGTCCTGGAGCCCCGGTCCCGCCGTAGAGAAATGAGGCCGGGCCCCCCCGGGGACCTGGAACTCCGGTGTCCTATATATATATATATATAAACATATGCATGTGTATACTTACATATATACTTACATACATACATACATACATGCATACATACATACATACATACATACATGCATACATGCATACATACATACATACATACATGCACACACATACATACATACATACATACATACATACATACATACATACATACATACATACATACATACATACATACACACACATACATACATACATACATACATACATACATACATACACACATACATGCATACATACATACATACATACATACGTACATACGTACATACGTACATACGTACATACGCACATACGCACATACGCACATACATACATGCATACGTACATACATACATACATACATGCATGCATGCATACATACATACATGCATGCATGTATGCATGCATACATACATACAAACATACATACAGACAGACAGACAGACAGACAGGCATACATACATACATGCCCAAGGATGTGGGCGCAAGGTGGAGCGACCCGCTCTTAAGAGTAAAGCAAAGCATTAAATTCACTGGGCTGACCGCAGGCGGACGTCACCTGCAAGCCAGCATTGCAGCCTGACACGCCTTGGCGCGAACGGCACACATACTGAGGCGCCGACCAATTCCCTTTCGGAACATTCGAACGCCAACAATGAAACTTCGCCACCCTGTCGCAGGCACGTTGGGGCCATATGAGAGCGCTCGTTGGCTTTCGGGAAATGTTTCTGCTGTTCTCTGGGAGCGACGCCCCGCTGCCGCGCGCATCCACACAAAATCGCGCCCTCTGCACTTTGCTCCACGGCTCCACGGCGCCCTGAGCCAGAGACCGCCTCAAAACGGCCGCAAGACTCCCCAAGCCCGTCCAAAGACGGCCCAGCGGACTCTGTTGGCCCTCTCTTGAAATCCCGTTGGGATTTCTTGGGACCCTCTTGGGCGGACTCCGGAACCTCTGGGGCCGTTTTTGGGGTCCTGTTGGGCCGTCCTCGAGCCCTAGGAAGGGGGGGGGAGGACGGGCCAGGCGGAGCGAAACAAACGATTGTCTCCGCAGCAAGCAGATAGAATCCGAGGTTGGGAAAGAAATCGACGTGAACAAGAGACCCCCCGCCAAGAAGTCGTTTTCGGTTTCGTGTCGTGCGTGTGGGCGAGGCGAGGCTGCTTCGGCGGGCGAGGGGGATGATCCCGCCGCGCTCAGGCAAAACCGAACAAAATTCTGCTGCGCCCCCCGGTTGGCCAGTGGTTGCCTGGGGGTGTCCCGCGGTGTCCCGTGGTGTGACAGAATCCGAGGTTGGGAAAGAGATCGAAGTGAACAGGAGCCCACCGCCAGGAAATCGTTTTCGGTTTCGTGTTCGTGTCGCGCGTGTGGGCGCGGCGAAGCTGCGTCGGAAGGCGAGAGGAAAGAGCCATCTGTGCTTACGGCAAAACTGGGCCAAATTTTGCTGTGCCCCCCGGTTGGCCAACAGTGGACCGGGGGTGGCTGGCGGTGGCCTTGGGGTGTCCCGCGGTGTCCCGCGGTGTCTCGTCGTGTCTGGTGCTATGCGATGCTGTGCTGTGCTGTGCTATGCCATGCTGTACAATTCTACGCTATGTTATCAATGCGATGCTAAATTATGCGGTCTGATGCGATGCGATACTATGCTGCGCAATGCGATGCTATGCTATGCTCTGTGCCATGCGATGCTATTATATGCGATGCGATGCGATGCGAGGTCATGTTATGCAATGATATGTTGTGCTATGATACGCGATGCTCGTCTATGCTGTGCTATGCGATGCTATTCGATGCTATGTTGTAGCTCCAGTTGGTCCCCCTTCCTCCCCCACACCGCCACACACACAACCTCCTTATCACCCGAAGGGTGGTCGTACATGTAGGTATGCACTGGCAGGATCTCGCGGCCAGAGACGCAACCGCCTCGCGCACACCTGCCTGGAGCGGGGAGGGATGGGGAGGAATGGGAACGATCTGGGAGGAGCGGGGAGGGGTATGGAGTGAGGTGCCTTGTGGGCCTCTTGGACTGTCTCAGAGCGCTCTGGGATCCACAGGCGCCTACGGAAGTCGTCTTGGAGGGCTCTGTGGGACGTCTTGGGGCGATCCTGGGAGCTTCTTGGGCCGTCTTGGAGGCCTTGTTGGGATGTCTTGCGGCGCTCTTGGGGTTCTCTGAGGCCGTCGTGGACGCTATTTACTTCTATATATATACATACATACATACATACATACATACATACATACATACATACATACATACATACATACATACATACAAACACACATATATATATATACATACAACTAGGAACGCATAGGCCAAACATACGAGGAAGCAGGGCGATGTGTGTTCCTTGCGGCCCTCATAAGTGTCCTCTTGGAGCCCTCTTCAAGCGCTTGGGGGGCCTCTCGGGCCGTCTTGAAGCCATCTTGGGCGTCTTGGCGCACTCTTGGACCGTCTCGGACGCCTCCTGGACCGTCTGGGGAGCGCCTTCGGGCCCTCCGAAAGCCCCCCGAAGGACCCCGAGGGAAACAGTGGGCACCGCGGGGGGAGGGGGGAGTTTGGGAAAAGTGGGCAGCCTCGGGCCCCAGGGGCCTGGTCGCGGGGTCTGCATGGTGATGGGCAACTATGATGAGCGCTTGCGCACTGCAGTCAGAGCCACCTTGAGCCAAAATGGCTACGGATGCTCGTGGGGCGTCTTTTGGGGCTCCTGTGGGGCCTCGTGGAGCCTCTAGGGGGCCTCTAGGGGGCCTCCTGGTCTCTCTTGGGGGCCTCTTGGGGGCCTCCTGGAGGCCTACTGGGGCGGAAGGCTCGAATTGTCGGTTCGTGTTCCCCCTCTTGGGCCCCTCTTAGGGCCCTCTTGGGGCGATCTTGGGCGCCTCTGGGGCCGCCTTGGGGCACTCGTTGGGCCGTCTTGGGGTGCCTCTTGGGCCGTCTTGAGCTGGTTTCTGGGGCCTCATGGGCTGTCTTGGACCGTAGGAGGCACGAAACAACGAGAACACGAACAACCGTCAAAAACCATTGAGGAAGCCTACTTGGTTCGCCTCCCGAGTGCCTCGTGGGAACCCTTGAGGGCATCGTGGCCATCTTGAAGCCCTCTTAGGCTGTCTTCAAAGCCATGTTGGACCAATTTTGGAACGCTCTTGTGCGGTCTTGGGCTCTCTTGGAGCGCTCTTGGGCCATCAATGCGCCCTCGTGGACGTCCCTCGCCCCCTTTGACGTTGTTTCCCGCCCCCCGCCGGGCCCGAAACGGCCAGAAGACAAATCAGTGCACTTCGGGGGGCCCGGGGCCCCCTCCCCTATACACATCTATATATATAAGTATATATATATAGAGACATACATACATACATACATACATACATACATACATACATGCATGCATGCATCCATACATATACACACATACACACATACATACATACATACATACATACATACATACATACATACATACACACAGACATACACACATACATACACACATACACACATACATACATACCTACACATATACATACATACATACATACATACATACATACATACATACATACATCCACACATACATACATACAGACAGACAGACAGACAGACAGACAGACAGACAGACATGCATACATACGACATACGTACGTACGTACGTACATACATACATACATACATACATGCATGCATGCATGCATGCAAACATACATACACACGTACATACATACATACATACACACATACATACATACATACATGCATACGTACATACATACATACATACATACATACACACATACATGCATGCATGCATGCATGCATGCATACATACATACATACGCACATAAACCTACACACTCATATATATATATATATACACACATATATACATACATACTGGAAGGCTCTTGGGTTGTGCATTGACATTGTTGGGCCTGTTTTGCCTCTTGGGACCCTCTTGGGAAGGCCTCTTGGAGACCGCTAGCCACGTTTTGGAGGCCACTGAAGCCGTCATGGGATCATCGTGGGCGTCTTGGAGCGATCTTTCGGCGTCTCGGGGCCCTCTGGGACCACTTGGGGGCCTCCTCGGCCTTCTTGGGGCCGTCTCGGAGCCCCTGGGGACGCCGCCAGGGGAGGGACCCATGCATATACAAGGGAGGTTCCGGCCCGGGGCGCGGGGGCCGGGATCTCCCATATATGTATACACGCGCGCGCTACGCGCGCGCTTAGGTTCTACTCGCAGATTAGCCACGGGTGCCGCTGTAAGCCTCGCTGTGGTCACAACGACGATTTCCAGCGTTTTGGGGCCCATGCCATCGACGCACATAGACGCGTAGTCAGAACTCTCTCCCTCTGCCTGGGCCGCCCTTGAGGGGTGGGAGGGGGAAAGCAACTTGTGAAATGATAGGGTATAGCGATGCCCCGCTCGCTCTGGCGGGGCATGTCTGGCGCTCTGGCGGGGCCGTCCCAGGAGAGGAGGGAGGAGCACGGAAGCTGAGGGGCGAGGGGAGAAAGAGGAGAGAGGAGGGAATGGGGGCAACGGGGGGGGGCGGAAGGGAAGGAGGGACGGAGGGGGGAGGCCCAGGCCATCTGGGCCGTCTTGGAGCGCCTTGGGGTCGCTCCCGCTCTGTGGCCCAGCTTGGGCCTGTCCTGGGGCTTTCTTGGGCCGTCGGGGGCTTCTCCTGAGCAATTTTCGGGCTCCCTGAAACCGTTTTGGGGGTCTTCTGTGCTTCTTCGGCGGTCTTGGGGCGGTTTTGTGGGCGTCTTCTGTCGTCTTCGAGCATTGGAAGCTCGAGAACGCGTGAAAGCGAACAACATCGAATAAACCAGTGCACATCAATGATTTGGGCCTTTTTGGGCTCTCTCGGGACGCCTCTCGGAGCTCGATTGAGCCCTCGCACACGGTCCCGATAGCTTGGGGTTTTGCCACGCTCGGCCACATGGGCGATTCCAAAAGGCAGGGGGCGGCGGTGATTCGCCGTATGTTCGATACCTAAGATGGAGCGCCCAACTACGAGGATCTGAGCCATCCCAAACTATGGTTGGCGCCGCGCCGCCGTTCGTGCCAGTTGAGACCTGCAGAAATGAGGTTGGCCAACATTGGCTGGAAGATCACACTCCACTGGTATGAGCACGAGCTGCGAACATCAAAGACGCCCAAGGCGAGGTAAGCGCGACGCGGAGCCCGACCGATTCGCCTTTTCCGTGGCTTTGTACATTCGCAGCACGCCCTCGAAGATGTCCCTGACATCATCATTTATCAGATTCATCTTATGGCCGCACGGGGAAGTCAGAATCGCCTTGGGCGCTTGTGTATGGCAGCAATTGCCCTCGCAGAAGTCGATTGTCTCGACCCCCGGTGCCCGGCCGCTCCGCACGAGCATGTTGAGCATGGTGTAGGCTGCGACCTCGTGGAACACGCTGCCGAAATCCGCCACCGTGCCCCTTGGCCCGTTGAGGCTTGCTAGAATAGAGGGAAAAGAACTATGCACATGCACCGATTCTGGCCAGGCCCATCCTGAGCCCAGGATCGGTGAATACGCCCTCCTACCTTGGCCAGGAAGGCACATGCACCGATCCTGGGTCAAAAATGGGCCTTGCCAGGATCGGTGCATGTGCATAGTTCTCTTCGCCCGATAGAACCTGACCGGACAAGAACGGGAAGCGTCGCTTTAGTCCACCAAGCATATGAAGTATGATCTGCTGTTGGTCTGCCGCGCAAGCATGTCGTGGCGCGCGTGTTGGCGTGCGCGCGGGGGGGTGCTGTGCCGTGCTCCTGTGTGTTCTGCCGTGCTCCTGTGTTCTACCGTGTTCCTGCGTTCTGCCGTGCTCCTGTGTGCTCTCTGTGTGTTCTGCCACACTCCTGTACTCTGCCGTGCGGATCGTCGCTATGGTGGTTGTGGCGGAACTTCCGGGCGCGCTCGGTTTGACGGATGGATCCGAGGGGGTTCTTGTTTTGGCGGATTCTTGGGGGTGCTCGCTCTGTGGCGGATCTCTGGGGGTCGTTCGATTGTGGCGGATCTTGCGGGCGCGCTGCCAGATGACGGCAGAATAAGCCCCAAGAGCGAAGGAGCACGGCAGCAAAAGACCAGGAGCACGGCAGAATCGACCCCAATAGTTAAGCAGCATGGCAGAATAGTGCCCAACAGCGACGGAGAACGGCAGAAAAAGACAAGAACACGGCACAGTAGACCACAAGAGCTAAGGAGTACGGCAGAATAAGCCCCAAGAGCGAAGGAGCACGGCAGAAAAAGACCAGGAGCACGGCAGAATCGACCCCAATAGTTAAGCAGCATGGCAAAATAGTGCCCAAGAGCGACGGAGAACGGCAGAAAAAGACAAGAACACGGCACAATAGACCACAAGAGCTAAGGAGTACGGCAGAACAAAAACCAAGAGCCTGGCATAATAGACCCGAAGAGCCAAGGAGTACCGCAGAAAAACACCAGGAGCACGGCAGACTAGACCCCAAGAGCGAACGAGCACGGCAGAAGAGGCCCGAAGAGCGAAGGAACACGGCAGAAAACGACCAGGAGCACGGCAGAATGGACCCCAAGAGCTGAGTAGCACGGCAGAAAAAGACCAGAAACACGGCAGAAGAGGCCCCAAGAGCGAAGGAGCACGGCAAAAAAAACAGGAGCACGGCAGAATAGACCCCAAGAGCTAAGGAGCACGGCAAAATAGGCCCCAAGAGCTAAGGAGCACGGCAAATAGGCCCCAAGAGCTAAGGAGCACGGCAGAAAGAAAACAAGAGCCCGGCATAGAGAAAAAGGCCAGGAGCCAGGCAGAATAGACCCGAAGAGCGAAGGACCACGGCAGACTAGACCCCAAGAGCGAAGCACGGCAAAAAAAACAGGAGCACGGCAGAATAGACCCCAAGAGCTAAGGAGGACGGCCGAAAAAGATCAGGACCACGGCAGAATAGGCCTCAAGAGCGAAGTAGCACGGCAGAAAAAGACCCCAGGAGCACGGCAGAATAAAGAGCACGGCAGAAGAAACCCCAAGAGCTAAGGAGCACGGCAGAAAAGGCACCACGAGCTGCCGAGCGAAGGAGCACGGCAGAATGGGCCCCAAGAGCGACGGAGGACGGCAAAGTAGATCCTAAGAGCTAGGGAGGACGGCAGAAAAAAGACCAGAAGCACGGCAGAATAGGCACGAAGAGCGACGGAGCACGGCAGAAAAAAAGATCAGGAGCACGGCAGAATAGGTACGACGAGCGAGGGAGCACGGCAGACAAAGACCAGGAGCTCGGCCGAGTAGACCCCAAGAGCGAAGGAGCACGGCAGAAAACGACCAGGAACACGGCAGACAAAGACCACGAGCACGGCAGGAAATACCCCAAGAGCTGAGGAGCACGGCAGAAAAAAAAACGGGAGCACGGCAGAATAGACCCCAGAGCGAAGGAGCACGGCAGAATAGGCCCCAAGAGCGACGGAGCACGGCAGAAAAAGACCAGCAGCACGGCAGAACAGGCCCCAAGAGCTAAAGAGCACGGCAGAAGAAGACCAGTAGCACGGCAGAATAGGCCCCAAGAGCTAGAGTGCACGGCAGAAAAAAGACCAGGAACACGGCAGCGTAGACCTCCAGAGCTAAGGAGCACGGCAGAATAGGCCCCAAGTGCAAAGGAGCATGGCAGAAAAAGGCCAGGAGCACGGCAGAATAGACCCTAAGAGCTAAGAGCACGGCAGAATAGGCACCGAGAGCGAAGGAGCACGGCAGAAAACAGATCAGGAGCACTGGCAGAACAGACCCCAAGAACTAAGGAGCACGGCAGAAAAAGACCAGGAGCACGGCAGAAAAGGCCCAAGAGCGAAGGAGCACGGCAGAAAAGACCAGGAGCACGAAAGAATAGACCCCACGAGCTGAGGAGCACGGCAGAATATTGAATAGACCCCAAAAGCGAAGGAGCACGGCAGAAAAAAGACCAAGAACACGGCAGAATAGGCTCCAAGAGCGAAGGAGCACGGCAGAAAAGGACCCTGCTGCCTTTTCGTCTGCAAAGCTCCTACGTGGTCTGCCGTGCTCCTCGTCTTGTTCTGCCGTGTTCCTTTCGGTTTCAAGACGACGACGCGAAGATATGTTTTAACTGTCTGCAGCGAAATCGCCATCTCCGGGACACTGCAAGAGCGATGGCAAGACAATGTTAAGAGCATACCATTGTTTAGGATGTCCCCAGCGAACTGCTCATTCTCTGTCATACTCTTTTTTGTCCGTCTGCCTCCGCCCGATGTTCTGAGGATGCCTGCAGCGAGAGCGCCATTTTTAACATGCGAGGTAGTAATACAGCCTCTCCAAACTATCTTCTTTTTTTGTGAAGATGTCTCAGGCGAGACATACGTGTTTTGAACATATGTCACAATCGCGACTTCCCATTTTGGGGGGTGTCTCCAGCGAGCCGCTCATGTTTGATAAACTCGATGTTGCGACCATACAACTCGAGTGAGGATGTCTAAAGCGACATCGCCATTTTGGGTCGTCTCGAGGGCGCTCTTGGGGGTCATATTGGGGCTCATGTGGGGCCCTTTGCGGCCGCCTTGCCCCCCACAATCATTACAGTGCGTTGTTAGACACATTGATGTTTTGAGGATGTCCCTAGCAAAATCGTTATGTTTAGAAGGCTGGCTTAGATCATCAGGAAGCCGTTTCAGGAGCGATTCCAAGACGATGTTAGAACAGCAGTTTTCAAAACGATGTTGCTGCATTTGTTCATGTGTCGAAGATGTCCCCAGCGAAATCGTCATGTCCGGCAGTCTCCAGGGCGCTGTTGGAACCATCTTGGGCTCCTTTTGGGGCTCTCATGTCATCATATTGAAACACTTCGAGAACGATGTCGAGGCGATGTTGCGAACATATGTTTTGAAGACGTCCCCAACGAAGCTGTAATTTTCTGCCGTGATTATTTTTGTCTGTCTGCCGCGCCCCTCCCGATGTTCTAAGGACGTCTGCAGCGATAGCGCCAACATTATATGAGAAATACTACAACAACTTTTCCAACATACCAATTGTTCGAAGATGTCCCGGGCGAACCGCTCATTTGTTATACACAACAAAAACCTTCGACTGCTTCACCATCCCAGCACGGCAGAAAAAAAGGACCAGGAGCACGGCAGAATAGGCACGACGAGCGAAGGAGCACGGCAGACAAAAAACAAGAACACGGCAGAACAGGCCCTATGAACGAAGGAGCACGGCAGGACCACGGCAGAATAGACCCCAAGAGCCAAGGAGCATGGCAGAAGAGGCCCCAATAACGAAGGAACAAAACAGAAAAAGACCAGGATCACGGCAGAATCCACTCTAAGAGATAACGCTTGGGTGTGATAGAACCGATGTTAAGAACAGATCAGTGTTGTGAAAATGTCTCAAGCGAAATCACATGCTGGGGTCGCCTCGAAGGCGTTCGTGGGGGTCATATTGGGGCTCGTTTGGGGGGCCCTTTTGCGGCCGTCTCGATGCCCCCCATATCATTACAGTGCGATGTTAGACACCCTGTTGTGTTGAGGATGTCCGTAGCGAAATCGTTATTTTTAGAAGGCTGGCTTAGACCATCATGATGCCTTTTGCTGGAACGATTCCAAAACAACGTTAGAGCCGCAGTTTTCAAACCGATGTTGCTGCATTTGTTCATTGTTGTCGACGATGTCCCCAGCGATATCATAATTTTCGGCAGTCGTCAGGGGGCTGTTGGAACCATCTTGGGCTCCGCATGGGGCTCTCAGTTCCTCATTTTGAAGCAAGTCGAGAACGATGTCGAAGCGATGTTGCGAACATCTCATGTTTGGAGGATGTCCTCAACGAAATGATCAGTTTCTGCCGTGTTCCTTTTTCGGTTTGCCGCGCCCCTCCCGATATTCGGAGGATGTCCTGAGCGAGAGCGCATTTTTCACATGAGAGGTAATACAACAACTTCTCCAACCTATCATGTGTTCGAAGATGTCTCAGACGAAACGCTCATTTTCCATGCGCAACAAAATCATGTACGATTTTTCGACATCCTGTTTTTCTGAGGACGTCTCGAGCGAACACGTCAGTTTTAACAGAACGCGTCTTAACCGAAAACCTCAAGCATCTCCATTTTGCGGAGGATGTCTCGAGCGAAATCGCTGCGTTGGTGAACCTTTCCTGGCGTGGGCGGGAAGCGCGTGAAAGGGAAGAGTTGCGCAAGAACTTGCAGCAGCATCGTGAGCACATGTAATGTAGGCGAGCTCCCCGAACGCTCGCACAGGATGCGTATGGGCACGCGCCCACCGAACGTTTACAAACATCTTCCTGGTTATCCCCCTCACTCCTCCGCGCGAGGAGGACGACGGCGAAAACGACAACCGTGGGAGGAGGGGGAGGAGAATGAGGAGGAGGAGGAGGAGGAGGAGGAGGAGGAGGAGGAGGAGGAGGAGGAGGAGGGGGAGGGAGGAGGAGGAGGAGGAGG